TTTTTAAAAAAAATTCTGAAGAGGATATTGACTCTTGAATGGAGGGGAAGGGGATGAGTCGGTTCCTTGTTGCAAATGGAGGGGGTGGAGGTTGGAGGTAATAATACCCCCCAAACCCCACAAAAAAAATGGTCACTTAATCCACAACTATTTGTGGGACACTGCCATGCGTTTTTGCCCACAAGATACACAATCACTTTACAGTATATTCAAGGTCATCGTAAGCATTCAGACCCTTGTGGGAATATTGTCAGACATCAACCTTCACTTTCCATAACACTGACCATAACCCTTTCTAACCTTTTGGAATGACGTTGTGTACACATTTTTCAAAGGGAGAAATAAGGTTCAATTGTAGGGAAATCAAAATCTAAAGATTTTACTGCAAAGGATTCAAACGTGGCCTCTGTCTTTGCCCATTCCAGTAAAACAATTTTCAGGAAACACAATTGTTATGATCCACATGAGAAAAAAATGTACACACAGCACGGGGAAAAATTATTCCTTTTATGGTTATGTAACTGTTTGATCAAGGAGTCCAACAGTAGGAGTCTCTTTAGACCTTCATATCGAAATTTCCAGCGATCAATATTAAATTCTAGAAGGTAAGCGTGTGTGAGTAGGGGGCAGAGGGGAATAACTGGCGCAATTGAAGATATGTTGCTTTTTTTGCGCTTCCCCAGAAGGCCATACAGGAAGAATCAATTAGAATGTTTCAAAGAGAAATAGGTCCTAAAGGGAAGTTTAATTAAAAGATCTGGAGTCCTGTAGGGTACCTGTTAGAGAGCTTGTCTCGCCAGCGAGAGGACCTGGGTTTGATTCCCGGGCAGAGCGAAACCTTAGGCAAGTTTCCTTACTCCACCCACCTCCGTTTACCAAGCATCAAGTAGGAACCCGGTTGTTAGACAATTAGAGGATTATTTTCTGGTGTAATTATCCCTTCAATAGATAATTGAAGGGATAATTACCCCCGAGAAAATAATAAATAAAAAAATAAACACTCAATCCACAACTGTTTGTGGGACACTGCTGTGCGCAATTGACTGCCGCGTTTTGCCCACAAATATATAGTCACTACATTTAAGATAAAGCGCCTTTGAGACATCTCAAAGAATTGATAAGGCGCTATATCAAATGCAAGGATTATTTATTATAATAATCTCTTGTTTCTATGTTCTTCCAATCTTGAGAACATAGAAATAATTATTTTCTTCTCTAGGTTCCGTGGTATCTTTATTCTCATGAAATCCTATCATGTCACTCAGTGGTACCATTCATAAAATGGCAGCACCTTGCTCCCCACACACACACACCTCATCCTTATTTATTTTGATATAAATTCATGATTTACTCATCAGGAAATCCAGCACTATTTTCCTCAAGTAGATGTGATAAAATGATCAGATCATCAAAAAGCAAGTCAAATCTGCTTAAATTAAATGGTGACATAAAGGGCTGAGGCACGAAGGCCTTGCTGGAAGAACCACATTGTTGAGACAGGATGGTAATGTGGCCAAACAATGGTTGAAGCCACCGGTCCATATTTTTGGCCATTGATTTATAGTACGTTGTGATCCATCTGTTTGGGCCCCAAAGTAAAAAAAACATGATCCTATTTTGTCCAATTCTGATATCCCTCTTATCAAGTTCTTCACCAAGTAAACTATCCAATTCCCTTTGAATTTTCTCACACAATCCCTCGGCATTTCATTCTAGCTGTTAACTGGTGTAAAGTAATTCAATCGGAATTGTCAGTTTGCTTGCCCTTTTTTAAGCTTGAGTTCATGTTGTCTTAATTTTTGGTCATGTTAAACATATAAGGAGTCCAGTAGCGTATTGGTTGGAGCATTCGCCTCGCAAGCGAGAGGAACTGGGTTCGATACCCAGGCAGTGCGAAAGCTTAGGCAAGTTTCCTTACTCCATATTCATTTTACCTGGTAGTAAGTAGGAACCCCCTTGTTAGTCGATTGACGGATCGTTTTCCGGGGGTGGTAATCCCTTTCAAAAAATAAATAAATTTTAAAATAATAATTTGATCACTAAATCTATGATTATTTGTGGGACACTGCTGTGCACAATTGGCTGCTGCTTTTAGCCCACAAAATAAACAGTCAATTCTCCACAGTTTATTCTGTGAAGCTCTTTGAAAGGTTTTGACGACATGATAAGACACTATATCAATGCAAAGATTATTATATTATTAGAGTTCAGTTTATTAATACCTTTTAGGATCTTGAATACTACAGTAAGATCTGCCCTACACCTTCCTACTCCAACGGGAGCATTCCCGACTTCCTCACGCCTCAGGTGACTAATTCCAAGGAATAATTTAATTTGCATTTCATATGTTCACTCCAATGCCAAGAAGTCCTTATTGTATAACAGCAGCCAGAATGGTATATTGTGCTCCAGGTGGGAATTTATGTTGGTCTGAAGCGATTTGTGATAGGAACAATACAGGTTTCTTCCTCCACAAAGGAAGCTTTACCAAGTTTGTTATTGATTCGGGCAGCTTAGTCACAAAGCATCGGGGACATCTGCAAACAATGCAGTTTCCTGCAATTTCTCTTGTCAGCGGTGACATTTTTACAGAGAGAGGGAAAAAAGTTCACCCTTTTCAGAACAATTAGTTTCTGCCGGCTGCAAAAGATTTCCTTGGTTGATCATAGGCAGCATTAGTAGTAACCTAGGCAACAGCCTCCGTAGTTACTTTCTATACCAAACAGAAGGATTTGTTCAATTAGTTCTTTGCAACAATCTTCCTGGTGATACCCTCCCCTCTGTAAAAACAATCTTTCATCATGCATGTATTTATATGCACTTGTACAGCATTCACCTACTACAGTCACTACACTCGACTGTGAAATACTTTGAGATGTTTCGACAATGAGATAAGGCAGTTAGTATAGCAAATGCAAGAATTATTATTGGCATCAGCTACAATCCTGACCATAGGAAACATTTTTATAGCACCTCCAAAATTCCCTCAAAGAAATATTTGGTCACTCAATCCGCGACTGTTCATGGGACACTGCTGTGCGGATTTGGTTGCCCCGTTTCACCCACAGTCAGTCCACTTTGCAATATATTTTGCGAAGCGCTTTGAGACGTCTCGTGATAAGGCGCTATATCAAAGTGTGTGGGGGACGGGGAGCAAAGAGAACCGCTATCCCAGACACACACCCAAACTGCATGAAAGGGAGCATTAATCTAGCTTAGTTTTTGTATATAATATAAATATATAATTATACATAAAGAAGGTGTTTTGCCCACAAAACACACAGTCAGTCCACTCTAGAATATATTCAGTGAAGCGCTTTAAGACGTCTCAACAACGTGATAAGGTGCTATACAACAACAACAACAAGATTCCATTTATTGAGTGCCTTTCACGTCGGGAGGACGTCCCATATCAAATGAAAGGATAATTATTACTATAAGAGCAGTTCAGGAAGCAAACCTCACTCTTTAATTCCAGTCATTTCCAGCATATTAAAAAAACACAATGTGGCAATGAATGGGTTAAAAGGGCTGGGCAGTGTAGTCAGTTCGTTCGTGGCTAATAATCTTTGAAAAAAATCAATTGAATTTAATAATCAGTTACTAGACAGTTACTTATTAGGGCAGCACATAATGATTATGATTCCGAGTTTGTGCTGAACTCCTGAACATAACAATGCTTCAAATAAAATAACTTGTACAATAAATTCACTTAAAGATCTGATAATTATTTTAAATTTTGTTCCTCTCTCTCTCTCTCTCTCTCTCTCCCCCTCCCTTTAGTTCTCAGCTGGTTTCGCTCCCAAACTATAAACTCAGTCACCAATTCCAAACCATTACTCTGGTCCGCGGCTGCCTATTCCTCAGTGAAATAGTTGTCACTTGCACACTGACGTGACGCAGGTTGCCCAGGGTAACTGTTAAATTAGCCCAAATAATTCAGTGGTAACTAATAGCAACAAACTGCCTCCATTTAGTGGGATAAAGAATTCAAAAAGAGAAATAATCTGTGTGGAAGATCAAATGCGTCTCACTGCCTCTTTGAAATGACCCTATAAGGACAATACTTTGATACCTCACATTTGTTACATCCTAAAGCGATATAAATAATAATAATCCTGGCATTTGGTATAGCACTTTATCCCGTCTTCGAGACGTTTCAAAGTGCTTCACAGGATATATTGTAAAGTGAATTGACTATATTTTGTGGGTGAAACGAGGCAGCCAATTGTGCACAGCAGTGTCCCACACAGTCGTGGACTGAAGTGACCAATTTATTATTATTTATTACTGAAATCAACAGTTCACATTCCAAAATAATCATATGACGTCGATACAATCATAATCGGGTTGTCTTTTGACTCAAATTTATCCATCAGGTTCACCATCAGGTGTGTATTGCCCACAGTGAAAAATCTGGCCATTTCAGTTGGCAGAAATTAAAATATATAATAATAATAATCTTTGCATTTCATACAGCGCCTTATCACATCATTGAGACTTCTCAAAGCGCTTCATGGAATATATTGTAAAGTGGATTGCCTGTGTATTTTGTGGGAGATCAGTTAAGTAATGATTTTAATCTTTCATAACAACACTGCAATGAAAAATGGAAGAGAAGCAATTCCGAAATGTAGTTTGCAGAGTAACAGTGATGATGCTAATGATAAATTATTAATACGTTTTGCTTTTTTTTAAGCGGGGACAGGGGGAGCCTTTAAAGCCATTTTAAAATGACTCATTTTGACCACGGTAAATAAATCAACCTTTTCACTTCTTTTGCAAATGTGAATGGCAGAACATTTTTCGCCATCAATATTTCTACCTTTCTTTCCTTTTCTGAAGGAGTTTGGACTCATTTTACATCTTCAAGGGATGTTTGCTACCTGTTGTATTCATCTGTGATCCTTGACAGCAAATGAAACACAGTCATCACAGATGTGCTTGATCTCACCACACATGTCCATGCTCGCAACTCGAGATAGTGATCAGGAGCAGGAATCCTGGCTGCGTTCTTCTCCTCCCTAATCTGGGGCACTAACGCTCAGGTAAAGCTGTAGGTTCAAGCAACACCTCAGATCATGAGTTCATAAGCTGACACTCCAGTGCAGTCGTGAATCACATTATTGGAAGAATTAATGTTTCAGATGAGACATTAAACCAAGATCATATCTGCGTGCTTAGGTGAACATTAAACATCCGGTGAAACAATTCAAAATGAGACTGGCATTTCCCATGGCCAACCGTCTCTCCAGATAAATTGAACACGGCTGTTTACAAAAATTGACTGCCACATTTGCCTACAAAAGCACAGTTGCTACACGTGAGCAATTGTTTACATGTTTCAATGTTATAAAGTGCTGTATCAATTGTAAGGATTGATAATTGTAATAATAATCCTTGCATTTGATATAGCATTGTATCGATTGCAAGGACTTAATTGTAATCATGATATTGCATTTGATATGACGCCTTATCGCATAATTGAAACAACAACTTGCATTTATATAGCGCCCTCCATGCAGGGTAGCATCTCAGAGCACTGAACAGCGGCAGAGCCTGACTCCGAGCCGGGACATGGGGGTGAGGTGACCGAGAGAGGGCAAGGCGGAGGGATTGAAGGAGAAGAGTTTCAGAGTTTTGGGGCGTAGTGGCTGAATGCATGACTTCCAATGGTGGAGCAGAGACATCTCAAAGCGCTTCAAAGAATATGTTGTAAAGTGATTGAATATGTATTTTGTGGGTGAAACGCGGCAGTCAATTGCACACAGCGGTGCAGCACCCCAGAGGCTGTCGTGGCTAATATCAGCACATAGCAGGGTTCAAACTTTTGGTTTTCTGCCCTTGTGCTGTCAATATCTATTCACTTTGCCGTTGGGTGAGCTGGAGTCATTCATATTTAATGATACCAGGTATACATGGATTATAATAATAATCCTTGCATTTGATATAGCGCTTTTCAGATCTTTGAGACGTCTCCAAGCACTTCACAGGATACACTGTAAAGTGAATTGACTGTAAATTTGTGGGCGAAACGCAGCAGCCAATTGTGCACAACAGCGTCCCACAAACAGTCGTGGATTGAAGTTATCAATTTTTTTTTCTTAAGGGATTATTATCAACCATGTTGAGTAAGAAAACTTGCCCAGTGTTCGCCCTGCCGGGAATCAAACCCAGGTCTTTCACTTGCAAGGCAAGTGCTCTAACCACTGAACTACAGGACTCCACATGCTTGGCATGGTTGTACAACAGTGTAATTTTCTACCTATTTACCATTTAACTTTCATGTTTCGAAGAATGAATACTGCACAGTGAAGTTGAAACATCCCTCTCTCCATCAGGCTGATTGGAAAGAGATCGTCAAACATGTTTCAGGGGCTGGCAGTGTCTGGGTGGGGAATGATCCACGGAACAATTGAAGGTAAGAACAGTCTGTCTAGCAATGAGTCATATAAAGTTCATAAGTGGGTGGGAGAAATGAGAAAAACAAATATTCACAGAGGGGTTCTGATACGATCCTAACCCACAGGATTATTTTCTTATAATCACTCCTACCCACCAATCACTTTTTTCTGTTCCACCGTTGGGTGTATGTAAATCCAAGTTGTTGTTGTTGTTGTGTACTGTTCACAGAGTTGAACTTGTTCTTCTGTAGGATGGCTGCCGTAAATGTCTAAACAACGCCCACTGGCTAATGATTTGGGAAAATAGAAAATTATATAATAATCATTACATTTCATAAAACACCTATATTGTTGAAATTTCTCAAAACGGTTCACAGACAATAGTAATAAACCTTGCATTTGATATAGCGCCTTATCATGTCTTCAAGACGTCTCAAAGCGCTTCACAGAATTTACTGTGAAGTATAGTCACCGTACTTTGTAGGTTAAACGCAGCAGACTATTGCGCACAGCTGTATCCCACAAACAGCCGTGGAGTGAGTAATCAAATTTTTATTTGTGTTGTTGCGAAGGGATTATTACACCCCGGAAAGCAATCCGTTGTTTTAATTTTTTTAATAATTGTTGATACGTGAGCCAAGCTCATTCCTGCAGCACTCCGCTTTATGCGTTATCAAACTGAGTCATGGGGAGCCATTGAGTAAAGGCAGCTGCTATTTTCTCAGACCCTCGTTTTCAAATTTCTCCTAAAAGAGCAGGGAAAGGGGGAGGGGAGGGAGGAGAACGATGGCTCAGAAAAGGGTTGACAGAGAGCAGGTGAGAAGAAGGGTGGAGCGTAGAACAATTCTTTAATAACCAAAAGTTTCATTTTTAACCTTACCGGAAAAAAGTGTCTGTCTAATGGAAAAGAAGCTCTTCCTCAAAATGCATCATTTAATCATTTCAGACCCAATAACATCCATAGCAGCTGTAGTTGTGTGTCAGCTCAGGAAGGTGGAGGAGGCTAGCATTTCAAATGAGTATTAACCTGTATCTGGGCAACGAGCAAGGAAAACACCCACCTACCTCCTTACTCCTTCGTACTCTCAGATTATTGGAACTGATTTCATATGAACTGGTTGTTTATTGTGAAGTTTAAACCCAGTTCCCAGATAAACAGATGCTGCATTTTTAGGCACCTGGGGATTAATGCCAATCTCCAACAGCAGCACAATCTTCAAATTGCTTTTCAGTCGAAAACATCACTTATTTTGATGTGTTTCACCCACAAAATATACAGTCAATTTATATCAAGAGGACACTGATTTAAGATAATTAGCAAAAGAACCAGAGGCGAGACTAGGAGATTTTTTTTTACCCAGAGAGATGTACTGCCTGAAAGGATTGTGAAGCAGATTCGATCTGACGTGACCAATTTTTTTGGGGGGGATTATAACCCTCGCCCGAAAAAAAATCAGCCAATCAACTCACAACTGGGTTCCTCCTTACTGCGCGATAAACAGAGGTGTGTGGAGTAAGGAATCTTGCTTAAGGTTTCGCCCTGCCCAGGAAATGAACCCGGGTCCTCTTGCTTGCGAGGCGAACGAACGAGCCACTACTCTACAGGACTCCACAAGGCATTACATCAAATGCAAGGATTATGATCACAACACTATCATGAGGCACATTCATTTCTTAAGATGCTGTGGTAGAAATTATTCCCATTTGTGAAAATTAAAAGGATACCTGACTATTAAATAATGAGATGTGTTGAAAGAATCTTTCGGGCAATGAAATGGATAACTAACTAAATGGTTCAATTGTCTATTATTGCCTGAAACTTTTTACTTTTGTAAAAAAAAACTGTTTATAACCCTAGATTTTCAACATGAGTTTTCATTCTTTTAAAACATTTTTTGAGAAGCCTTGCAATAGTGTTTTTCTCCTCTCGTGTCTCAATAGTGATGGATGAGTCAGAAATGATGTAAGCAAAACTTGTGAGATCAAAAACATTCTATATAAGTATGATTAATGCCTAGTTTCAGCACAGCAATGTTCACATAATCTAATTGCACAAAGTTGTGCAGTGCGTCACCTCATACAGAACAATGAATTGCTTTTTCTGCCCATTGAAAGCTTGAGACTCTACCTCCATCCACTGGCAAAACGCAAAGCTACAAGGCCTGCTCCTGCCATGGATTCACCAAACTAGCTACAGAACATTAAAGTTGCTAATGTTGTAGTGCTTATGTAGAAAACCTCATACACTCATTCATGACATCCAGGTTTAACTGCACAAACTTCCTAGCTCAGCGACCTCCTAACCCCCTACCAATCTGCCAGCTCCCTCCACTCAACAACAACAACCACAAGATTACATTTGTATAGCGCCTTTCACGTCGGGAGGACGTCCCAAGGCACTGGACAGTGTACAGCATTTCAGACCCTGGCAGGGGTCGGGGGGAAGGGAAGGGGGTGGCCGATGTCATGGTCAAAGAAGAGGGTCTCAAGGCGGGACTTGATGGAGGCTAAGGAGTGGGCTTCCGGCCTGCTTCACATCCCCCGCCTCGCCTGCCCCGCGATTGGCAGGCGGGCCGGCCTTCAGCCACTCTGCCTCACCCTCTGGAACTCCATCCCGCAGTCTCTCCACCTTGCCCCCTCCCTTCCCTCCTTCAAGACCCATCTCAAGACTCTCCTCTTCGACCGTGCCTTTGATTCCCCTCCTACCCCCCTCCCCTATCCCAACCCCCACCTCGGGTCGAAACACTGACTGTCCAGCGGCTTGGGACGTCCTACCTATGTGAAAGGCGCTATACAAATGTAATTTTGTTGTTCTACTTTATTTCCTACATTGAAAGAGTCTATGTTTGTAGAGATAGACAGTGCAGAGGAGAGCCACGATACTGATCCCCAGTGTTTCACCGAACGGATCGATTTCAAGATCCTCACACTTGTCTTAAGATCCCTTCATGCCCTGGCACCTCCTACCTCTACGACCTGTTTAGTCCCCAACCCACTACCCACTCCCTCTGCTTGTCTGGCGACAACCTCCTGCTTGTCCCTCGTGTCCTCCGTTCCACCACCCGTGCTTCCACCACTGCTTCCAAAAACTCTACAACACTCTCCCTCAATCCCTCCACCTTGCCCCCTTCCTTTCCCATCTTCAGGTTGCACCCGAAGACCTTCCTCTTTGACTGTTTTTGACTGTTCTTACGGTCACCTCTCCCTCCCAGCAGCTCAGTGTGGTGCTCTGCCACTGTCAAGAGCTCTGGGACGCTACTCTGCGTGCGGAGCACTGTATAAATGCAAATTGTTGTTTGAGGGATGAACTATGAAGAACAACAAGGTAAGTTAGGGTCTCCTAGCCTCAAAAATCAGCATCTTAGAAGGACCTTATGGAGATAGTATAAAATATTTAATAAGGTTAAGAAAGTAAAGACAGTACTCTACTGGTATTTTCAGATAAGGCAAGAACAGTAGAAGAATGTCTTTAGGCAAGTTTCCTTACTCCACCTATTCTGTTTACCTAGCAGTAATAAATAGGAACCTGGTTGATAGTCGATCGGCGGATCGCTTTTCTGGGTAGAAATTGTCTCTCCCATAAAAAAAATGTGATCACTCAATCCGTGACTGTTGGACACTGCTGTGTGCAATTGACTGCCGCGTTTCACCCACAATCAATCCACTTTACAATATATTTTGTGAAGCGCTTTGAGATGTGAACGATGTGACAAGGGGCCGTATCAATTACTTTTTATTATCAAGTGCAGGTTCAAGTCACACCAGGAAATGTTTCACACAGAGAATAATCAACAGCTGGAAAGCGTTGCCAGAAAGGTTGAGGCCAGAACACTGGTCTTATTTTACAACTCGATGTTGTAATAGCAATAAATTGGGTATTCTGGGAGGATGAGACCAAAGACCTTACTTGCAATCTTCAAAGAATTAGAGAGATCAAATGTTTTTACATAGAGGATTGTCAAGACATGAAACACCCTACCAAACATAGTGGTTGAAGCAGTGAACTAAAAACAAACATTTGAAAAGCAAAAATATATAGAGAGGTATGAAGACCAAGGGAATGGGAAGTAAATAGATAGCTTCTTCAGAAAGCTAGTTCAGGCGTTTTTTGTTTTTTTGTCAGCCGGGTGTCTGACACATGCGAAACCCATCACCATGCTTAAGAGTCTCCAAACCAAACTGAAAATTCCATGTATCCCATCATGGAAATTGCAGAGATAGATTGTTGGAATGGAATGCGCACTGCCGCTAGTACCAGTCTCTATAGTAAAATGTCAGCCTTTACCCGTTAGCAGTTGGAATGGATTCGGCTATCTCGATCTCAGATTTGACTTGTTTCTGCAAGTCATGAAGTTGGGATTGATTCCTGGCTCCATGACTCAATTCTAACAGACGAGCATGTGTGTAAAAACAATTCATCATTAAATATAGCACAGAAATAACACTCACGATTCCTGCCCGGATCCTATAGTCATGATATGCTACAATAACACCTTTTGTTGTCACTGTGTGCGTGTGTGTGGTTATACTGATACATAGAGTTATTAATAATAATGCCAACATTTGATAGCGCCTATGATGTTTTAAATATTTTTCACAGATAACTTCCATCAAGTATATTGACTGTATATTATAAAAGTACCCCCAATGCACACACTCTGGGATACCCAGACCTTGGCTTTTTGCCAACTTGAAATTGGTTCACTTCATTCCCTCGTACCTCCCTCCCTAACCTGCTTATTCCCCACTCTACCTCCCACTGCCTCCGCTCAGCTGGCTCCGGCCTCCTTATTAATTGTCCCTCGTGCCCTCCGCTCCACCATCGGTGGATGTGCCATCAGCCACTATGTCCTAAAACTCTGGGACACTCTCCTTTGATCCTTTCTCCTTCTCCCCTCTCCCCACCTTCAGAGACCCTCCTTTTTGATCGTGCTTAGGATCACTTCTCCGTTCCTTCTCCCCTTGGCTCGTTGTCAGGCTCCGCCACAGTGCAGTGTTCCGGGATGCCACCCCGCAT